TCGTAGGGCATCGATCGACCACCGTTAACCGCCGCCTCTTTCTCGCTTCATTCCGTGAGCTCGCAATCGAACAAACGAAACAACGGAAAACTCTGGGCACCGATAGAAGAGCAGTAACAGTCATGAAATCGACAAAACTAAACGGTGACAATAAGAATCGCTGGATAGCAGGGACGGGAGCACGCACAAAATTATACATCGTGAAGCCGTAACAGTGAGCCATGCTGCTGGCCATATCCGATGACCCCATTTTCCTCTTTCTCATGGTCTCACTAGTGTTCGCACCAAATATTGCAGCTTTACGATGCTTATACTATGCATAGCTTGCATATTATAAGTCTCTGAACATGGGATGCAACTTTATTTTTTACAGGATGAGTATATGACGAGGGCCTTCACTTGAGGACCCACAGTTGGTTCGAAAAGTTACCAATCTTCGAAGTTTGCAAAAAATAATTTTCAGGAATCTATGTACAATTGTTTAGGACGTACAGGAAATTGAGCATAGGGAAAACAACGATTTGGCAAGCCTCCATTTACGATTTTTTTCTCCGAAACCAATGCAAATACAAAGGTAAAAAAAAAGGACCAAATTTCATAGCTTGGATGGGAGAACCACATATACTCGTTTTTTTTTTTTAAATCAAAGACCATGACATGACACGGAAACTACGGACCTGCCCGATTTGAAATGGAACCACCCGTGGATAGTTTGTTGGTGGTTCGATGTGAGCTACAGTGACATTGATACTTACGACCCTGAGAAATTTCATCTGCATTGTATTCAAATTATGACAAAACGGGAATCGCTTTGGCGTTGTTAGAGACGAAGTCCCTCTCAAGCAAGTGCAATTCTGAGAGGTCAGAGGCTCTAGGAGGTTTTCCCTATTCGATGAACTTCCAGAATTCCGTCTACGCATTTCACTAAGGGAGAGGAAATTTTGCCTTACGTTAAATTTTGATTGAATTACTAATTCGTGGAAATTCAACTGCATAATACTCCTGTTTCATGAAATAAAACACGCATATATTGATAAATGTATCCCCAAATCCGTATGCCCTCAAGTGAAGAATCCTAAGAGCATATTGCAATCTGTATCTCAACGGGAAAGGAAATACATGATAGCGGAAAAAATATTGGTTAAAAGAAACGCAAAAAAAGAGAATTGTTCGGATAAATTAGAATGCACCTTAATGAACCTTTTTTTGCTCCCGAGTCCCGTCAACCTTGAAACGGAAAAGTCGAGATGCATCGAAGATGCATGAAAGCGAAGTCCAAGGCTTACACGAAGGACCGTTTTATATTCAAACTTCTGGCCGCAGACACTCCTCCCCGCTTCCGTTGATTGCACTAGATCTGGTCGTATTATGCC